TGTCCCTAGCTTAATCGTGACCGGAGGTGGGGGGGGGGGGGGGGTGGTCATGTTTTGGGTGGAGGCGGTGGTTGATAGGCTTCTGGTGGTGTACCGTCCCCCCAGCTAACAGATGTCACTGCTTGCAAGCCAGAGCATCCCCCACTCAGCTCGTGGCAGCTATGGCATTACTGGTTGCCCTGAGCTCGGCGGGGCGCCAGCCAGTGTGTCCCAGATTGCTAAGAGCTGGGAGGGTACATGTGTATACACCCCTAGCCCCATGTAAGCCGAAGTGATGCTGCCTGAGCCAACAGCCCCTCATTATCAGGGCAGCCCTGGACTTTTGTATCATGGTACAACGAGTACAGTATTTACATCAGACTTGCAGCACTTTAACCCCTGCAACTGTACTTTTTTTTTCTCTTCTGTACAGACAGAGGAAGATGAATTAGACATGGTGAGTGAAGTGTGTGCTTTATAGACACGTATACATTCCTATCTGAGATGTTCCCTTTAAAATCTTTACAAGCTTTCAAAATACCTCTTTTCATTGTTGCTAAATCTAAGGGATGCATACATTATTTCTAAGGAGGATCAGTTTATTTTGCTTTTGCTCTTTTAAAAGGAACATCCGATAAGACATGCACATTGTGTTTTGAGTGTGGAAATACACTGATCACATGCTCTGATCTCCACCCAGCACCACCATATCATTGTCCTTTTAGGATACGGTAACTTTCCTAGTACAGGAGCTCTTCACTGTTGTGTCTTTCAGTGAGGTTACATCATCCTTGGTGAGGTCATTTCTTGTCAGAGCTGTGAATGATCTCATCTTCCTCAGGAGGGCTCAAACAGCAGTCTGCTATGTACACAGACAGAGCTGGAGTCCTCGGAGCTCTCATCGCAATTCTGTAGCTAGATATTTATTAGTAGTGTGAATGATTTCTGCTGCTCCTCCAGAGTGCAGCTCCACCTCTCCTGTATTGTATTGCCAATCAGCAATTGTGACCCCAGTAAAAATCAATTGTGCGAAGGGAAGAAGAGATGTGTTTTTGTAAGATGGGAGAGGAGGGGAGGTTGTTTAACCTTGATTTTAGAGGAGGATCAGAGAAACTCCAAAAAAGACCTTCATTCATTTTTTTATTTTTAGCTTGATAGAAGCTACTATGATACTGTTATCACAAATTACCTATTCTACTAGATTTTTCCTTTCTCATAATAAGCTTTTGGCACAATTGCGTGGCCTTACAATATCATTATCTTGGTATTTTTCCTAACATGAGCAAGCAACTAGCTTTGTGCCTTCGGCAAATGTAGTCAGCGTTGCCATTTCAATTACCACTCACAAATCACAACCCCACAACGTGCTGGGCTGCATGCAGCATGCTCTTCTGTAAAGTATTTGTGTGGTGCACACTGTGCCTTTTTATGCTTTCATACATATGTCAAACCTGGCACCATAGCAGAAAGTTCATTGAGGAATGCTTGCATGTGTGTTTGTATGTATAATCATTTTGCTTTCTCACATACAGTATATAAAATAAATAAAGATTATATATTACATATATTATAATATCATTTTTTATCCTCAAAATCATGAATGTGGCATCTTTGCCTGCCTGGTTTGCCAGTACAAGACTACCCTCTGTTGGTCCTGTGTAGAACTGCATAAGTGAGGTTGAGGCTTTTTTTTTTTTCCTACTAAACCCTTGAAAGAGACCATTAGCAGAGCTTACAAGCAAATGGAGTGCAGTATAGCATGCTGACAATAGTTTGCACGGAGTTTGGCTGAATTGCGCCTGGATGATCAACCTCCCTATAAAGTGTATTCATTTTCTCAGCCAATAGCTCTAAAGTAGGGGCCACCCATTGATAAATACACAATTACTTTGGGATTGGGACTTAATGTGTCATGAAGCTTAATGACTGTCTAGGAATCTTTGATGGAAAATGCCTTTGTCTGACTTCTGACCGCATACCAGTAAGGGGCAGTAGACCACCTGACTATCACTTGCAGGGTTATTCACAAAACGGTGAAGAGTTTGGAGAAGGCAGGAGAAGTGAACAATCTAGGACAACATAGCTGAACTGGAAAGTGAGCTGAATTGGAGATTCTTCCCAAATCGGCTATTTTGGCCTAGATTGCTCACTTCTCCTGCCTTCTCTGAACTCTTCACCCTTTTGTGAATAACCCTGTGAGAGTCAAATGCCCGGAGTAGGTAAGTAGGCAGCCCAGGAGTCAGACATTGGTAGCTTCCAATAACAGTTTCTCAGTCAGGAGCATGCAGAGACTCTTTAATTCTTGTTACTGTCCCTTATTGTGTTAGCGGTATATAAATAATGCACTGTGATGTAACTTATTAAAAGGGAATTATAAATGCTGTCTCTTTTTAAAGTACTGTAATTTAAAGGTCAGTTAGCAATCACCTGTTTAAAAAAAAAAAAAAAACCCCTGAATAAAACATAGTAAACTGTAACCTGTAGTAACCAATTTGGTTTGAGCTGCTGTTGGGTTAGGGCAGCAAGAAGAGTCAATTGTGGTTGTTGATGGATCACTATGGCTTTGTGGACATTTAATGTCTCTTTCCTGTATGAAATAATTGTATGTTTATCTCCTTATGAGTGGACATTGGTGGGTTTTAAAGTGGACCGGTGGTCAGGCTATGGACATGCAAATATTTATATATTCCAACAAGCCACTGATGAACTTAAAACAAGTCCTCACTGACCTCTGTAGCTGCAGTCACTGTGGAGCAATTCATCTTCTGAGCACAAGCGGTAAAATCTGGTTCTGTTCCGTTTCTCAGCAGATGAGCGCACCCTGCTCCCGCTCACAGCAAAGATTAACAGCCTTTTAGCTTTTTAAAATAAATATAGAGTCTGAAGCCCATCTATCTGGATCTGATGATTATTATTTTAACATGTGGTTTGAATTGAAGGTTTTTTTCATCACCTGATCAGTTTTAAATTGTGCAGGACCATGAAGGTTTTTTTTTGAATCATTAACAAGTGGCTTGGGATTTTGGGGATTTTGGCAACCGAACTGTGACCGTGACATGTTTGCAATATTCATTTTACTGCTGAAAACTCATTACGGGTTCTTGTTCACAGAATACACAGAGGATAAGCAGCTCCCAGTCTACACAGTCTCTCGCAACTCCAGTTGTCTCTGTAACTACACCTAGTCTGGCCACCCAGGGTCTGGTGTACTCTGCCATGCCTACTGCCTACAATACTGGTAAGCTTTACCACATTCTGGTCACTCTGTTTCTTACCATTCCTTCCACTTTCAGATTCCTGTGCTCTACATTTATTTTTTTAACAGGAAGCACTGAATTATATTTACATGTCTACGAATTGCCTTTGTTTATCATTAGGTTTATTCCCCTGTGCACATCTTCCACTTCAGTGGATGTTTTTCTATGTTTCTGAGTTGGACTCTCCTATTCATCTCTACAGAATTTGCAGTCATGCTTGTGCATTGCAGCATATATGTGGGGAGAAATAAACAAATGTAAATGCTGGATGGCACACCAGAGAGCTGATCAGTGTAGGACCTACAGGATTGCGTGCACTATTATAGGGCTTAGATTACGGAGGGCCTATTCACACTATATGCAGTGACTGGCGTTTGTTTAGCAACTGAGCAATGCCAGTGATTGTTCACACCACAATGCTGCTGTGCTCTGTGGTGGGGTTCGCTATGAAAAAAATGCAGGCATGCTTAATTATTCACAAGCGCACTGGACTGCACCGCAGTTTACAGCAGCGCAGTACACCATGTTACTTTTCAGGGACTTGAATGTTATATACAGTGTATACACTCAAAATAAAGTTAGAGAATAAAAAAAGTATACAGTCTGCTATGCGTAGGAGTGGTCAGCACAAACTAGCTCGTCTGCTGAAATAGAGCATTTTAGTGGGTGGGCTCGTGTGAATGGGCCCAAAAACAGTTGCAGAAATCTAACAAAATACCTAAGCTTCCATGTATGTCATTTTACTACTTATCAGTATAGTGAGGGGTATCTTGGGCTCAACTTTGCAGAAAGTAAGGAAAAAAAATAATCTTGATGGAAAAACTCTGCTGTGAAATGAATATTTATCCTACAGTAGCACTGCTCTGGTTGGTGTTCCAACTCTAATATGTCACAGTTGCTGACAAGGGAGGACTTGGAACGTTACCCAGAGCCAATCTGATATATTTCATTTCAAATACAGTAAATTAAAATACTATAGGAAACAAAAGAACCAACTTGAGTTGATCAAAGTCCTCCTTAACACACTCTTTTGGTAATAAGAAATATGTATCTGTAGATTGTTTTCCATGTTTTCTGTATATTTCCTGAAACAAAGCTTTGCTCTTTCATTGACATTGCTTTTCTTTCTTGTCCTGTCCAGACTATGCTCTTACAAGTGCGGACCTTTCTGTTCTACAAGGGTTTAACTCTCCAGGAATGCTGCCTATGGGACAGGTGTCTGCCTGGCAGCAACATCACTTAGGACAAGCAGCCCTCAGCTCCCTTATGTGAGTAATATTTAGTCACATTCATATTACTAAGCTACATGGGTTCTGTGCTCCTGTGGAAATGTAAAGTGTAACTATACATATCTAAATTTGTGGAAAGCATTTTTGGCCAGGGCCTGTGGTAGCAAGATTTTAGTACAGAGGCTGACTGTCCCTAGTTTCATCACTTTTTTTTCATGTTTTCCTTTTGTAAGTGTTCGGGAAGAAACATAGTACACTATTTATTTTTCATCACATTACACTTTTCTTTTTTTTTTGTGACTCCGTATTCTTACTGAGGTAGTTCCAGTGTCTCAGAGTAAAGCTGGCTCTTCAGAAGTTTGAGTTGGGGGTTAAGAGTGAAGATTATGATTTAGCAATGGTTCAAGTCTTTGGGGAAGTTAAATTATGATTTCAAAGGTCAAGTTTAAATTTTAGAGCTTGCGTAAAAGTAGCGATAAAGGAAAACCTGTGTCCATACGACACACTAACATATTTACATATTCTGAACAAACATTTTAAGTCAAGCCCTTATTCATCTTTGTAGCTATAGGCATTGTGGATAAATTAATCTTCACATTTTCCAACAGAGGCACTGTAATCTTAGCTATCTTCTGTGGAGAGTAGAATCTTTGCAGCCTGCAAGCCACCTAATGTAAACACACAGTAGGTGTTTCTAAGCTGTTAGAAACTGACTACAACCAACTTTAGTGTCTTTGTTGTGATCTTTGAGAATGAATTACTTCACAATAGAAGCAACTAGATAGGTCAGTGATGTCTTGTTTTAAAGCTCTTTTGCTGCTTGTTATGAGCACGTAAATACTTTAATGTTCACAGTATACACACAGGTGCACTTTAATGGCAAGTTTGAGATATGAAATATGTGGGCAATAACGTTATTTTTATTTTATACTTCTTTTTGGTGCCAAAACCCTAATTGGAGAACTACAGTAGTACTGAGCTTCTGGCACTAAAATTCAGTTGACCAGATTTGTTTTGACTGAGGGGTACAGAACTGCACACCCATAAACATCTGTGGTCATAGAGGCAGCACATTAAAAGTGATAGGACACACAATAGAAATCCTGGTTATAGTAAGTTGTCTTGTCCTCCTCTTTTAGGACTTGAAAACCCAAATATAGGCTGGTCTCAAGGACTGATTTTAAGGTGTATGTCCGCCCAAGCTTTTTTTTACATTTTTGGATGGAGTGAGAAAGGATTAGAACTGTCGAGTTCTTATTGCTATTTGGGGCTCTGTTAAGAGATTGTCTTTAACTTACTGTCCCGGTGGCAATGGTTTCGCCTACAGTAAGAGGGAAACATTTCAAACAATTCGGCTGGACTTGTCCCACTCTGGCATTGCTGGATTATTGTCATGAATACATATCCACTAGATCTATTTTTTCTTATTTATACCGTTTCTTTGTTTTTGTATTTTACAGGGCCAGTGGGCAGCTATCTCAGGGTTCAAACTTATCCATCAATCCCAACCAAAATCTCAACATCAAGTCAGAGCCGATCTCTCCTCCACGTGACAGAGTGACCTCCACTGGGTTCCCTCTGCAACAACATCAGCAGCAGCCACAGCACCATCAGCCCCAAGCTCGTCAAGAAATGGGGAGATCACCCGTGGACAGCCTTAGTAGTTCCAGCAGCTCTTATGATGGAAGTGACCGGGAGGATGTTCGCAATGATTTTCACTCCCCTGTCACCATGAGAAGGAATCCCAACAATGAAGACAGGGACAGCCCCTCCATGAAGCGAATGAGGATGGATGCCTGGGTGACATAGAGGTTTTTCTTTCCTCTCCAGTGGCTGAGCAGCATGCATATCAAAAACCCTTTTTTTCCAGAGGATGCAGAACCTTATA